AGTAGTGTGTGTGTGTGTGTGTGTGTGTGTGTGTGTGTGTGTGTGTGTGTGTGGGAGTAGTATTAATATATATATATATATATATATATATATATGTGTGTGTGTATATAATTTAGTTTGAATTTAACATAATTTTCTCTGCAATTTTTTTATGCAAAACGAGAAAAATTAAGAATTCAAAAATTTAAACTAAATTTTTACATGATGAAATATGTAATAATCTTTATTTAAATTCTCACATTATGTTATATTTTTCAAACATTTTATTAATGTTACATCAATATTTTTTTGCAATATATATGTATATATAATATTTGAAAAAATATGAAATGACGTGAGCAATTTAAATAAAGATTATTACATGTTTCATCATGTAAAAATTTAAATTTGGATTTTTGAATCTTAATTTTTCTTTTGAATTTTCGCATAAAAAAAGATTTCAAAGAAAATCACGTTAAGTCCAAATTGAATTCTTGCAAGTATTAAAACTCATAATACGCACTTTGCATTGTGATCAAAGCGTCGCCGAATATTCATCTCGTGATCGTTTCTGGGTATGCAGACCTTGTCGAGCAACATGTCAGTGAGACTAACAATTTTATCCCGATTTACTACCAGATTCAGCACTTTGAAGCTAACGCTAACTACGGATACACATAGCGAGAATTTCTCGATAAACGTTTCAAGATCTTTGAAAATGAAGCAATCGACTAAACCACAAAACGCGTATGAGTAAAGCAGGAAATTCATAATGATGGAGTAAACGATGTACGCCCAATATTTAATGGATGTTAAACCAATGGGTCGCCAATAGCCGGTATACGTTAAGAGTGCAAACGACAAGGGAAGAGTGTGCATTGTCTTCGATTAAGGGTCTCGGGAAAGGTTTCCGAGATCTTTAGATACGGTCTCAATAAAAATATCTCTTGCGAGACAATGTTCTGAAAGTGCTATTATATTACAGTCTCTATTTCTTCGTGTCAACATTTTATACTATAGCTATTCTCTCTTACTTAAGAAATTACTTCGACCTCCACTAGAGATAATTTATGCATAAGTAAGTTTTGCTAACCATTTCATGAAACGTTACGTACAATTCTACAAAGACTTTTAAAAGCACGGCTATTACACGGTAATTCCGTTTTATTTTAAAAATATACGTTGGCATAAATTTACCGTTATCTTCTCTTATAGTTGCGATCAATACACGTGAGTCTTGGCTCTCAACACTAGAATTTTTTTTTTTAATTTATATATTTTAATGATTTCTTAAAACTAAAATTATTTGTTACTTTTACATTTTTAATAACTGCAAAATTTAAGTTGTAAAAATATCTGGAATCACTATAATATGACAATTGCAAAAGGTACCTAATATAGTGAATTAATGAAGACGTCATTATTGCGTGTTGTAGGAGAAGACAGGAAATGCTGAGACATGTAAAATAGTATAGCGAAGTCTATTCAGTTGCGACAAGGAATAAAGTAAAATATTGCGTTCAATTTATGTTTATTAATTTATGATGACTACAGTATGAAAGTATTCGCTTTGAATAAGCCGAGAAATATTCTCTTCTGCTTTTGTTTTTTTCTTTTTTCTTTCATATTAGTATAAAAATTTGTTTTTTTTTTTCTAGAGACCTTACGATCTCTTTTATCTATTTCAATTCAATGTAGCACAATCAACTCACTGGGATGAACTTTTCCCAGTTAAAAGTCGAAAAAAATTACATTACCTGATTGACAAAATAATCTGTAAATTATGATCTACTATCGCATGATATTAATATTAATTACTTTTGAAAATTTGTGAAATAATTCAAAAAGCGATTAAAGAAATATATAGTGATATATTCTTCATTGTTTTTCGCACTGAGGATGACCATATTGAAAGTCGAAAAGTTTGCGCAGCTGTTATAAAGTTTTGTAAATGTTATTATTTGTTAAAAATATAACTAGCAATATCACTTAGTTTTGGCTCGTATAGTTCATTATTTATGTTCTTGATATACATTCTTATTTATATTCTTATTTATATTTTATTTATATTTGGCTCGTATAATCCATTATTTATATTCTTGATATATATTCTTATTTATATTCTTATTTATATTTGGCTCGGATAGTCCATTATTTATATTCTTGATATATATTCTTATTTATATTCTTATTTATATTTGGCTCGGATAGTCCATTATTTATATATATATTTTTTTTAATTAAACAAGAACATTGACAAGAACAAGAACATTGAATTTTTATTAAGATTTATGAATTGTAACTTGTTAATGAACATTTTATGAAAAAAAAGAAAAAGTACAGAGTTTAACAATTTTTTAATATTTATGTAATAAGATAAATAAGAAAGTTAATAAATAAATATTAGAAAATATATAGACTGTAGGACAAAAATAAGATAGAATTGAGAAATATTGTAGTGTATTTTATTTCAGGAAAGATACTAAGTGCAGAATTGAGGCAGGCTTTTGCTGAGGGATATGACATACAAACGAATATATTTATCATTGAGTTGTGTCATTTCCGATGATGGCGAGATTGTCTGCGATTACTTCCGAATTATCTGCGGAATTTAAAATATTTACGTATAAAAAATTGCGGATTTCATTCTGTTTGTTCGTCGATCAACTGAATAATGTCCGCGGTTAAACGGTTAAGAACCATGCATAACGTTGAATGCCGAATAAGATATTTTGATGATCTGAAAGAATAAAAATTCAAATATCCAAGTCAAAATGTAGTCATTACAATTAAAAATATTTTCAATATCGCGAATATCACAGTATCATCGTAACAACAGCTCATTGACCTTCGTAAATGATTCGTTGGACAAGGTAACTATGTATCCGCTAGTCATCACAATTGGTTTTTTAGCTCGCATAATTATCACCAAAAGGCTCTTCATTATATCATTAGGAAGCATCGGCCAGTCCATCTCGTAAACGGCGCTTCCGACCTCAGTGCTCTGCATATTTAAGAATAAGTTAATTAAAAAAGAAAAAGTTTATTGAACTGATTTTAAGTCAAATTCTTATTCTTCAAAAAAGATAAGGGATAAATTTAAGATAAGAATTTAAAGATTATTTTTACGTAACCGACTTTTAATGTCAGTTCGTTGCTGAACCAGCAATACAAGAAAATTTGCCCAAGCATGACGGCAAGATATGACGCGACCCATATGAACTCCGCGCCCACCTCTTTTATTAACATTTTGTAGATGGTAATACAAAGCACTGACGAGCTTACGATGAATTGTATGAAAATCATTATTGTGAACACCGAATTGATACGCTCCGCAAGCCTGCATTACACAATTATTCCCTTAATACATCTCTTCTTTTTGTTTTCTTCACTTTTGAATTTACTCTTACGTTTACCTATATACGTAGCGATGATGATGGATGAGTTCGCGAACGAGTTGCCGTTCCTTGCTCTTAATCTCTTCTTTCGAGGTGCAGTATTTTCGGACCTCTCGTAGCTTATCTGGCAATGTCCGAGCACGATGGCAAAGTATATCGAGCTGGGCACAAGTCTGGATCATAAAAACCAGAAATTAAAGTCTCATGAGCCGTGCTGGCATGTGCGCAAGCTATTAGTCCTATAGTTTGGTGCAACGTAGTCGCCCAGAAAGCAAAGTCCGATGAGAGGTCATAGGGCACCCATTTGGCTAACGTTAAGATCCGGGCGTCGATGGAGTTCCACAATTGAGCGATTACGGCGAACAATACAGAAATTTCGTTCAGTATCTCGTACCATATGGTAACTATCCTATTGGAAATATTGATATAATATTGCAAAAAATAATATAAATATTACAAAAGATATCGAAAAAATATTGATACAATATTAATAAAAAAAAAATATATATATACTTTTATTAATATGTATCAATATTTATACAATATTATATAATAAACAATGTTATTATATATTTATGCAGTATTAATAATATTAATATTGTAACAATCTTTATTTAAATCGCCCACATCATTTTATGTTTTTTTCTATTTTTTATTACACACATTTATATTTACATATAAATTTATATATATATGTATATGTATATGTATATGTGTGTGTAGGGTGCGCGCACGCGCGCGCGCGCGCGTGTGTGTGTGTGTGTGTGTATATAAAATAGAAAAGTGATATGGGTGATTTAAACAAAGATTGTTACATTTTATCAGTTAAAAATATTCAATCTGGATTTTTGACTCTTTCTTTTAGATTCTTAATTCATATAAAAAAAGTTTCGAAGATATAATCACGTCAAGTTGAAATTAAATTCTTAAGAAATTTTAAAGTTTATACACACTTCGTGTTATGATCAAAACGTCGCTGAATATTCATCTCGTAATCATTTCTAGGTATGCAAATGTCATTAAGCAGCATGTCAGTGAGACCGATAATTTTATCCCGATGTACGATCAGGTTTAACACTTTGCAGCTAACGCTGACCACCGATACAGATAGCGAGAATTTATCGACGAATGTCTCAAGATCCTCGATTATAAAGCAATCAACCAAACCGCAAAACGCAAATGAGTAAAGCACAAAATTCATTACGACGGAATAAATGATATACGTCCAATATTTAATGGACGTTAAACCAATGGGTTGCCAATACCCGAAGTATGTCAACATTCCAAACGATATGGGAAGAATGTGCATTGTTCTCGATTAAAAGTCTCAAGGAAGCTTTCAAAGCTCTTTAGATAAAGTCTCTCGATAAAAATACTTCTTGTAAAACAACGTTCTGAGGATGCTATTATATTACAGTTTTCATTTCTTCTCCATTTTATGCTACGGTTATTCTCTCTCATTTACTTTGTCCTCTACTGTAGATAAATCATGCATAAGTAATGGTTTTGCTAACCATTTCATGAAATGTTACATACAATTTTACAAAGAGTAGCATACGCTATTAGAGGCATGTCACAATAGTTATTACAATAGTTCTGTCTCATTTAAAAATATACGTTAGCATAAATTTGCCGTGTCTGTTACTTTCTTACATGGTTGCGCGATCGATACACGTGAGTCTTGGATCTTAGCGCTTGAATATTTTTTAATTTACATATAACTTCTTAAAATTGAAATTATTCATTACTTTTACATTATTTTTAATAACTGCAAATTTAAGTTATAAGAATATCAAGAACCAAATCTAATATGTGTATGTGACACGCACATATACAATCGCAAATTACGTCTAAATATATTGAGTTAATCGAGACATCATTATTGCGTGCGACGGAGAAGACAGAAGAAACATGCAAAATAATATAGAAGACTATTCAGTTGTGACGGGATATAAGGTAAGATATTGCGTTTGATTGTTCATTAATATATAACGATAATATGATGCAGTATTCGCATTGCAGAAGCCGATACACACTCTTTTTTGCTTGTGGCTTTTTTTTCCTTCATATAATAATACGAGAATTTTCCTTTTTCTTTTCTAGAGATCTTGCAGTTTCTTTTTTCTATTTCAGTTCAACATAGCACAGTCAGCTTGCCATAAGTCCTTTTTTGTTCAATCCAAAAGGACTATGATCGTTCGTTGTAAGATAGACAATTCCTTTCCTGGAAAAGAGAAAAGGTAAGTGATTTGTAATTTCATGTAAAGTATTATATTTTTATGAAGTGATAATTTTTTTCTTCAAATCATTCTACTAAAATTCAGAATATTTTTACTGACGCGTTGGGCGGAGTAGCGTATCCCATGATGATCTGTGTATTATTTCTGCATTCGTCGGATTTAAAATGTGATAATGAAGAGCACTCTACACCTAGAAAAGCTGATTCGTTTAGCAGAGACTCGGCATAAAATCTCCAGGAACGATGATGGCTGCAAAAATCTGTTATAACAAAAATCAACGTTAATGATATCATCTATTTATCTGCTTTTAAAAGAGGAGATATACCGTTTTTGCTGTAGAATGCAGGATGGAGTGGACAGCCGGGCTGTATACGTTTTCCACCGTTCGGGAAGAAATCCACTGTGCCTGTCGTCATGGTAATACCGTAACCGCCATAATCGGTATGTATTAGATCTACGAAACGGGCATCAGAGGACGAAAGATGATGGTAGAAAAAATGGAAAAGGGGCCCGGCGGGATCCAAACCTGTACAAAAAAAATCTTTAAATACATACTTTGATATATGGATCGAGTTTTAATTTAATACTGGTATATTTTTCAATTCAGAGATGGAAATATCGCAGACATAAATTTTATTTCTTAAGAAAAAAAATTTAAATACTTTATTTATAAAAATATATCTTCACAAATCGTCAACTATTAATCATTATATTTTTAGGTATATTTCACCTAATATATATATATATATATATATAAAATTCTGTCATTTTTAATAAATTCAAATTTGAATATTTTCCTTATCGCGAATTTATATGAGAGAGAAAATTATCCGATTATTTCTCTCAAATCGTTGTTATTTAAAGATACTTCGGTACTATATTAAACAATGATTCATAAGTGAAGTAAAAATAAAATCGATTGACAAGAAGTTTGCGGACTTTCACCTGTAATTCTAGGAATCTGAAAGTTCACTTTTCTGCCGATGTAGCCGGAGATTTGGCTGCCCATAGAGTGTGCGACGATGTGCAATTTCTCCGTATCGAAGCCCGATCTCTTCATGTCATCGAGAGCCGTCGCGAGAGCATCACCAATGCGACCGGCGTTAGTTGTCAGTTTCATGTACGATTCATTCGCCAATGTACCATAATCCACTGCCATGACATTGTGATCATTTCGCTTTAAGTAACCTGAAAAGATGTAAGTAATTTAAACGCTTGTTGCGATGCATGCCGTCTACGATATTAAGATCGTGTACCTTGCACTATCAGTTGTACACTCTCTTTTTCTACATTTTCCATAAAGCCATGAATATACATCACTGTAGGCTTGCTCTTTATTATTTGAGATGTAATCGCGCTAGCATTTTCCAGCGAGTAATCGACATATTCATGTAAAGTGTTTCTAAAAAAGATAAGCATTTGATTCGATGTACGAAAATAGATTTATCGTAAATATTATATTTTATCTCATTGAAAAGGAAAGATTGATATCATTGAACAAAATGCAATTGATTTCCATTATCTCGAGAATTTAATTTCAAGAGATAAAATCGATAAAAGAAATAAAAAAATGTAAAAACCCGATATAAATACGCAGAAAAATGCTCTCAAGATCCTTGTCGTAGCACGCTCCACCTGCGAAAGAGAAGATTTGATCTATCTTCTACTCATATCAAATCAAACGTGATTGTCATACATTTACACAAAAATCAAGAAAAATTATTTGTAATAATTATTTAATTTGTAATATTTATTTAATATAATAACATATATTAATATAACAATCTCATCTTTGACGGTGTATATGTATAATACATCAAAATATTGACGAAGCTTGAAAATTTCATAGATTGTTTTACTATTTTTTTAAGTAAAAGCTGAACACAATTCTCTGAGATATTTAGAACTTATTTGATTTTTAAATTTGCATTAATCCGAATAGAAAAAAATTGAAATTATTGCGATACTAATACTGGTATTAAATATTATATTTTTAGAATATATATTTTGTTTTAGAATTCAATTATATTAAATTAAACATAATTATATTATTATTAAATTATATATAATTATATTAATATTAATATTATTATTATTATTATTATTATTATTATTATATTATTTAATTATACATAATTATTTTGATATTTCATGTATGTTCAAATTATTTAATAATAACTCAAAATTATCTTATAAATTATTAATTTTTATTGTTTCTTGAAATTAATTTCAGGGGATATTTACAATCAAAGCTTTTTGTACCCATCAGGAAAAATTGTTGTGATTAGAAGCTTTTTTTTAATGAAAATATTAAAAATGTTAAAAATTATAATATTTTATTTATACTTCGACTTCTTTATAATCTAATAAGTAAACATAAACAATATAAACATATAACATATATATTCTTTTTTAATTTCGAAATTTCATTTTCAAAGTTTTTACTATTATTGTATAGTTAATGCATTAAAAAAATAATTGTATTTTCTTAATTATATAACTAATTATGAAACTAATAAATAATTTGCTCATAGTTGAACTGAATTCAACTATTGGCCAATACTTACTAGTTGCAGTCCCATATATTATTATAATAATAAATGCAAATCGTTGAAAAATAGAAATGATCGTCATGGCTCTAAAGCTTTACCGAACAAGAAGAGTTATTGAATCAAACTTAGAATTTTTTTCTGCGCATAGAAATGTAAGAAGCTAAATTGTTAATTTATACGCTCTTTAATTTATGAGACATTCTGTTATCTAATATCGCCCGGTTTGCTGTATGTATAAAGAAACAACGTGTCAAACATTGGAGATATGCTTCCTGGCAGAGAACTTTTTACGCTGAATACGAGAATAAAGCCATAAATAAACAGCAATAAACAAACAGTAATATAAATAAAGAAAATAACAATTAAACAGTTAGCAACTATTAAATGATGAACAGATTATTAAATGATATTGGAAATATGAACTTTAGAAGTATTTTATAAATTTCATTATAAATTTTATAACATATATATATATATATATAATTATATTTAAAACATATATATATAATATTTTATAATATGTTATAAATATAATAGAAATATATATATATATTTTTATTATATTTATTGCAGTATATATTAATATATGTATATATAAATGCAGACGTATAAAAATGCAAATTTTAAAATAATTTTAAAATAAACTTTTAATAATTATTTTATTTTTCGAAATATTTCTTTAATCTTTTATGTTATTCTGTAATTAAAACAAAATTTAAAAGTAGAAGGTACTTTTCATTATTGGATAATATCTAATAACTATTGATTACTTCGATAATATTATTAACTAACAGTTTTATCGTTTTAATGTATACGTATATAATATATATAAATATATAAACTTTATTGACATTGTTTAATTTCTATATTTATATTTTCTCGAACTCAAATAGAAAAATATTTTATCCATAATGATTTGTAGCAAATTTTTAAATTTTTATTTTACATTTTATGTATTTTGTATATTTAATTTTTTCAATACTAAGAAGTATCTTTAAATCGAAATTGAAAAATGTCACAATTTCGTTTTATTATTATATCAGTATAAATGTAAATCGATAATTGTAAATGTTAGAGAAATTAGGTTTAGGAGATATGAATGTTAAATAATGTCTTTTGATATGATAAAATAGCATTTCTACTGTTCTGTATCTAATCTAATCTACATGTTTTGTATTTAATTGTATTTAAAATAACGACTGCGACATTACACACGATGCCCCATTACTCTGTCAGGTGCTCATTTAATCGCTCTCATGTTAATTTATGTGTCTGCAGATTTATGGGAATGTCATGGGACTATCAGTGAGACAAATAATTATGTGTATCTCTTTAACGTGCAACAAGTAAATCAAAGAGGAAATAGTCGGTTGGAAGATTAAATTTTAGTATTTACCTGTCGTTATCACGAATGGTACCTAATTCTACAAGTAAATTGAATACACAGGTAATATTCGAAATATTTCAATTTATTTTTAATAATCGATTTATTTGTAATAATCGATTTTGATAAATATTTAAGCTTTTTTGTAAATGATAAGTTAACAAATAATTAACTTAATTAGAAATATAGAAAATAGGAGATTATTTCCATATTTCTCTTTCTCTATTCGATGCCTTTCGTTGCTTTTAGCATAATTTCTTTCTCGCTTATTGTCTAACGGTTTGTCAAATCAAGTATTTGCTAAACTCAGTATCTTGCAATGTAAAAAACGTCTTGTGAAAGCGTACGCTTAAAATTAATTAGGACGAGAGTACAAATGGATCCTTAAATACTAACGCTCGAGATCCGTACAATTTCATATCTCTGGATTCTCGGGAATGGATGTCATGTCATTGGATACTTGTATTATAATTCCTGGATCCTCAAATTCGAGACGCATAAAATTCTTTTAGATCCTTATGATCTCTTTTACAATCTTTGCATTTATAATGAAAAGCGTAGTAAACATCGACACATAATTATTCCGCGTATCTACTAAATATGGTTGATAAGCAATTTATATTAATCACGATACAATGCTGATAATTTAATGCTAATTGTATTTAGCCGGCCGCGTTTAACATAAAATTTTGTGTGTAGTCATATTCGATCGTCGGTATAACAGATTGAACAAATTTCAGAAATATTATAAGATACATATGTACTCCTAATTCTCCACCGCCTTCCATTACCGTCTCCATGATTTTTTTCATCACTTCCGCATGCCTGTGCAAAATAATTGATTTTTTAATCAAATAAGATACATGAATTCAACGAATCTAGATAGACGCGTGTTTAAATCTTTTTTCATTTATTTTACCTGCAAGGATGAACGGAAGCCATAGGAGGGCCAGGTATGTGTGGGTGAGTCTCCATTGTAACTGTCTTTTTAGCATGATCTTGACTAACATCTTCATACATCTCTTCTACACTAAGTGCTTTTCGATTCTAATTGAATAAAATACATATAATAGATCTAAAAATAATGCGTAGTAATTTAAATATTTAATAAATATATATTTTACCTCGTTATATCCGAATAACCATAATCTAGGTGTTTGATAATATTTATCATATGTAATGTACAAGTCATAGGTGCGAGTGCGAATAATCTCTCCCTCTGTAAACGAGTTCCGTTTCTCACTGCCAGTTTTCTTAGTGCTTTCTGTTGTCGCATGCTACAAGAGCAATAATTGCTATCATAAATTCAGAATCATAAATTCAGAAAATCCATCTTTCCTCATAGATTCATGTTTCCTACCTTATCCTGCTCATCCAGCATTCCACTGATTTCGAAAGCATCCATATCAGCAGCATCTTCATCATCTTCATCATCGTCTACATTATCTTGAAGTTGAGATAATTCACCTAGTGTATCTTCGAGTGCCATTTCTGTCACTCTTTCATCTAGACCAGCAACGCTAGTGGCATAATGATGAGTGTCCACCCAGCCACCTTCAGGATCATCAGCTTCTATAATACATTCTTGTTCGTTGCTGTATTCCATCTACAAACAGAACAAACAATATTATTATATGTAAATCATAGAGGTTGTATATTTGACTGTAATATTACCTGCTTGCATCGACGTGTACAAGGAACATTACGAGTCAACAGGAACTGCTTGCCCTTTGGTAAGTAAGACTTTGCCCTATCCTCATCGCCAGTGGCCCACTGCCATGTGGGACAATGATGCACTAAATGATCGCCCGCCGCTACAAACTCCTCAGGTGTTAAGACACCTGTCTCTCGAAATTTACTCTCCTTAAAAGAAGCATGTAATTTCATATTAATATAGGATATTCAATAAATCACAATACAACCTATAAAAATGGAACTACATAAAAAAGCTCCGATAATTACAAAATAATTGTTTTGTTACATAATCTTTGACAGATAAAAAGACTATCATGTATAATTTAATCAATCTTTTATTCTTTTTTTCATTGATTACACAATTTATTGAACATTCTGTGTTCTCCCTCTCTGCTATTCAGCAATAATCAAACTAAAGTATCTAATCTCCGGCGAATTAAATATTCAATTTCCGATGGACAAAATAAAGACACGGAAAAATAAAAACTCTGATGGAAATTACCTTCAACACTGGCGTCAAGTATTCAGCTACGCCAAGCGCGGTGCCCTTTACAGAATTTATTACACTTTGCATTGTTGATGATTCGTTTGCGGGGAAAGATAGATAGAGAGAGAGAGAGAGAGAGAGACAGATAAATAATCCGTGTCCAGCACGCGGATGTGCAAGAGAAAAAGAGAAGCAATAACGTCGCTCAGCAAGGGCTCATCTCGATTCGCGACGGAAAAGTCTTTTCCCGCGTCGCAACACTTGCTTGCTATTTTCTGTTTTTTTCCAGTTCGCTGGATCGATTCGCGTTCGAACGGGACTGCACACAAGCCTCGTTCGACAGGTGACTACAGCGAACTATTGTGGAATGCGAAAAATCACTAGTTGGCCACCGTCGCCATCTTGAACATTGTCGCCAATACTATTGTACACAAATTGAAATTCCTAGGATTCAAAAATCAGGGGGTTGATTGTGTATCTTGAAACAAGATAAGAATTACAAAAGGGAAATTTACTAGATTTAGATAGGACTAGTCTTAGCAACTCTGCTTAAGGGTCGGCTGGAGACAGCATAAAGATCTCTCGCGGCCGGCTGTGAATTACGGATTCGCTAATACATTATTATGGCTAAAATGGCATTAATATAACCTTTTTGATGATGAAATCATCAATGTAAATTTTGCAAAATAACATAACAAAATCTTTTTTTGAAAAAAACTTTATTTTTATTTTTTTAATAATTACATTTCATAAAATTATCCATCGCCGCCATCTTAGTTTCTGTTATCCATTATAGCAGACATTTCATTCTCCTCTCTTTTGATGCTTCACCCTCGCCGCATTGCGTTACTATGTTACTACTGTTATTCTTACATCCATGGATTGTGATGAGTCTGTGATGGAAGGTAGAAAGAAACAAAAAAACAAGCCAGTGGATTTCACACGAGAACTTCACACGTGCCTCATTCGCTACTATGCGCGTCTCAATAAGCTAGACGAAAAATGGAAGGAACTGTCAAAAAGTGCAGAGAGACCACTCGAGGGCCTGGCTAATCGAACCGAGCAGTTCCGCTATGTCACGAAGTAAGTAGTTTACAAGGGATTTCTCTAGTAGTTTACAAGTGATTTCCCGCCACGATTTCGATGAAGGTATGTTAGGTGACGCGACTATAGCAGCGCGAAAATTACAAAAATCATGATCAAATTCAACTTTTAATTTTAAAATTAAAAAAATAATCTTTTTATATTCAATATTCATATCAAAATTTTGAAAATATCATCGGTGGAATCATTTGATTTTTTTTTACAGCTATTTGATATGCTATTAAATATAAAATTAATAAAGTTTAAGGATGATCCAAGTTTAATTTTAATTCAATATGCTTCTTTATTTTTTTAATCCTAAGAATTAGAAGATAAATAAGTTAAACGAGATCAAAATTAATAGAAAAGGACATTAAATATAATTAATAAAACAAGAAATTAAACGTAAGAAATTAATTTCGATGTACAAGAAAGTTATGCTTCAGTTCACAATAGAAAAATAAATTTATATGTCAAAGTCTGATAACAAAATTTAACAATAAAAAGTTATTGATATAGGAACTACTTTAATTTAAAATTATTAGAAAATTAATTGATTTCTTAAAGGAGACTTGAGAATGGATTTTGCTCATTCTTACAGTAAAGTAGAAGGGACAGAGGACTACGTGAATCAAGAGGTACGAGACAGATTGATATTCAAAATCTTCATGGGCCTCGAGGAAGAAATGACAATTCTCTTGAATATCCTGACACAATTTAATGATGCCAATCAGGTACTCTTAATAATTAATCTCCACTTTGCTGAATTAACGAAAAGAATATGACGTTTGAAATTTGCGATTTCAGGATTTGAAGAATTATTTGGTTAATTTAGAAAATGCTAGAAGTAAAGTATCCTTAGAGGATGAAGATATGAAGGAATTGAATGAAGGGACGCCATGGCGACCGGCACTCAATCTGCTCATGCAATGGGCCGTGGAGGGTTTTCAGTTTTATCACAATATGTAACTGTTATAATTTTAACAGATAACAGTACAATCGCTTCAGTATAATTTATTGTTTTATATGCGTTTAGGTATCTTCGTATCAATAATTGCATGAAATTGGTTGACTATAAAAAGGAGGAAACTATCGATAATCTGATTTCTTCCTTCACAGAAGACAAACGCGGAAGGAGAAATATAGATGGTAGGTATAATTTATTTTTTCATCCCTTTTCTCTATAAAGTTGTTAAAAAATATATATACTTGAGATTACATGATTATAAAAGACATACAATACAAGTTGATGGTAATATTATGCTTTTGTTTCCCCTCCATCTGTTATCTCGATTTTCTCGACTACTATTGTTACGTCGTGTATAGCGATATAGTATAAGTTAAAATCATATCTTTGATCGCTATTTCGAGAATGAAATACATCGGCTCGTGCGATCATTTCCAGTATATATCTTTGATAAATATTAATTATTTCAGTCATTCAAATATTGAATAATAGAAAAAAATTGACCAAAGATTGCGTATGTTTTAGGGATTTTCATCTTTACACATTTTCTAGCTAAGGAGACTGTTCATTAGAGATATGAAGATACATGGATCTAATAAAGATAAAATTGTGCGGACACAGATACTTTACGTTGATAAATTATAACTCATTTCTCTCTCTTCTTTGTAAGATGTACTTTTATAATAAATATTTTTACATATAAAAAAATAATAATCAATACAAAATAACTAAAATTAATTCCTGAATATTTTAATTTTTTAATGCGACTTTTTAATAATTATTATCTTTTTATCATATTTACATGAGAACGTATGATTTTTTTATTTATGAATATTTGATATGTACATATTTACGCGTTAGAGTTTCCAGGATGCCGATAAATCATGACTTGTCTTTTACTCTCTCTCTTTCTCTTTCTCTCTCTATCTACCCTTGATGTCTTCCTTTCGACGGAGAAGGGCTCGCGTGCGGTTTCGCGTTCTGCGAGAGCCTGCTGCCGAAAGAGAGAAGCGTCGAGGCGCCGGCGCTAGCTATTGATTCCCTTGGATATATCCGTGGTTTCAAAAGTTACTATCACCAGCGCACACGGGGGTGTCACCAGTGGCGAACCGCTCCTCGACCGCGGACAAGGTCCTCGTGCGTTTCCTCTTTTGGTCCCCGGCAAGTGGGTAAGGATTCCGCCTCCCGCTCCATGGTAGAAACGCAAATGACCAGAACAATTTTGAAATATTTCGTTTTCGTGACGGACGTGTACGTATGTTCAAATAAAGCTGTCAGCGCCTACGCAAGAGAAGGATTTTCCG